GACATACATGACATATTCATAATTCTTGCAATGTATTCTACAGACTTTGATGTTGGCTGCAAAAGAGACATAGTACCTAATTTTAAGATAGTTTGAACACCTTCAAGTAGGGTTACGGTTATTTTTCTGTATATTGCGGATAAGCCTTCCGATAATATGCCAGATTGAGCCCTACTTAGCTGTGCTATTGATTCTCAATATTTCAAACACTTCTGTACAAAACTCAACTGATTTCACTAAAAAATCAGAACTTAAGTGACAATTGATGACACCTAAATAGCAGTAAATACAATTTTTTTAATTTACCGATGTTAGAAAGAATAATTTAAAAAATCAAATTGTAAGTCTACTGTAGTACTTGCCGATCAGCCAATTCGGCATGATTGTGTGCATTTGTGTATAATGAGTGTATTGACTATTCATATATTCAAATGCTGCCTATTAACGCGTAGTGCAGTGCTAGAGGTCAATACGCATTAGCATTGACTATCTATGCTTACCTGAGTGTACTTACATGTACCTTGATTTCTTTATCCTTATATGCTCATTACTCAGCCAGTAGTCTAGAGTCTATACATTTTCTACCAAAATTGTCACGGTTTGGCAAATGACATTTATTTGTAATTTTGAACATTCAGTGTAAGTTTTGTTTATTCTGTGAGAATTAATTTTCTTTTTTTCTAACCAGAATTCAAGTTTATCTTTAACTAAGGGTTGTTTCCGATTTGTTTCAGTTGGAGCGAACTGTGATGAGCAAGGTTCCTGCAAATGCCCAGCAGGATCTGCTGGCTTTCTGTGTCAGAAAAAGTGTAATTAGTATCTTGGAATATTTTTTATTAGTACGTACGTTAGAACGGATTCTTGTCACATCCTGATTTAGCCAGGATGTTTGAACAACCCGAATGCATGAACACACACGCACCCACACACCCATACGCACCCTAATACGGCAATCTTTGCTTCTGACACCTGAGATAAAATAAAAGGGTGAAGTAGGCCTAATTGACATTTTCTTTGCTCTTGACAATTCTCTTATACCAGTGACATCTGTTGTGTGTGGAAGTACTTCAATGACCGTCACCATAGCTAAACAGCTAGTCCCAGGTGACGCAGGTGCTGTTCATTTTCGAAACCATTCCTGCTCCGGTGTAAACAGCTCGACTAGCACTCATGAGATCACTCTCACTACAGAATACGATCAATGTGGCACCACCTTTGAGGTATGACTCCTTAAATGATAACCGTATGAATCACTCTTGTTACCATGGCTACCAATACCATTGGGTGTGCAGGATTTGTGAAGAGGGGGCTTAAACATAATATTTGGCTCGATCCAGTAGAGCCCAGCCCCTTACTGTGTGGGGTCCAGGGGCAGAGCCTCAATAATCATGTTTGATTTAAAGTTCGCTGCAACACGCATGACATGCTGGCTTGAATAAAATCTGTTTACCTTCATTCCAAATAATGATATATTTTATATTATTTTAAGTACTGATATTCAATGTCCCGAAATCAATCTTGCTCTTCATCCAATTCCACCGTGTTGTTGACGTTTCTGTGTCTTTTCATCTTCTTAAACTTGGGAAATGTCACATAACAGGGTAATAATAATGGTATTTGAAATCTTATTCCTCAACAATGGCACTTGACATTAATCAATCGAGAAAATTAAATTGAAGCACACAGAAGTAAACAAAAATTATTTCTCCATTTTATGGGTAGTATTTCATCTCATGGGCAGATGCAAATAATAAAGGGAGTTATTATCAACGATGTACATGTTTATTTTCATAAAATTGACATGATTTACTCGCCCTTTGCTAATTTCTTATGAAACAACAACTGAAAACATATTTTTACTCCTTTTTTAATTCCGGGCGTATTAATGTTAGGTCCTATCAATCTCGATTTTGTCATTTTATAATCTGGTATATTTTTGTCAAACTTTAAGGAAGAATCCCTATGTTTTTATTACAGAAATTGTATTAGCACTGATGAACGCACAATACCTACCTGTATATACAAATTTGAAGAAAATTGAGTATCAATTCTAACTCCGTCTATCCATATTATTGTGCTTACATAATATACTGCACTTGTCATTTAATATGCATTATACAACAATGTTTTCACGTCCAGGTCCCGGATTGCCAGTTAAAATCCTATTTATTTTGCCAACAGATATTTATTTATTGTTTCATACAGAGTAATACAGTCTTATTTCATATGAAATAACATTCAAAAATGGCAAGCGACGGCTGTCGCTAGGTGGTGGGAGGGGGGGGGGGGGGGGGGGGAGATGTCGGCTTTTATCATCATTGACTTTTAGGTATCTGGGCAAATGTGCCCCCAAACATTTTCATGCGTGGGGTGCTAATTAAGACCCTTTTCTTCTTCAACGAAACTGCCTATTATGTCTTGAAGGACGGTACGTGACTCTCAATTTATTCACTTTATAAATCATTGGTCTCTAAGGAGCATTCGTCTTTCCTGTCCCTTTTTTTTTTGGGGGGGGGGCGTGAGAGGGGCTTCAGCCCCCGAAGCCCCCGTCCCCCGGACACTCGTAATCACAGTTACAATGTTTACATTAGTATTTTATCGAACTCGATACTGGATTTTTTTTTTGGTAATAATACTATTTTATTTGTTATATCTTGGTGTCATTACAGGAGGATAACACAACTATTACTTTCTCGAATGAAATCACCTACGCCAAGCCTGGTTTGGAGGATGGTACAGTGATCACCCGTGCTTATCAAATGCAGGTTAAGGTTGAATGTTGCCTCAAGAAAGAGGAAATCGTCAGTGGGTCCTTCAACCCCAACTTGGTGAGATAGCCTTTAGCGACAAGGGCTCTGGTGACTTCAATCTGAGACTAGATAGGTTCCTGACAGATACTTTTGTTGAGCTGAATTCGTACGCCACCGCTGTTGTCTTGCAAGGAGATGACCTCTATTTTGCTGTGGGTCTTGAGTCCATATCAGATGTTGGTATGTTTATTGATCGCTGCTGGGCGACAACCACTCAAGACATGGATTCCAATGGACAATACTCTCTAATTGCTCTAGGTTAGTAGAACTATTCATGAGCCTTGTGAAATAAATCACGTAGTGATCATAAAGTGGTTCATTCACTTGACTCTTATACCAAGGGTTGGGGTCCTGATCCAAGGCCGGCATGTAGGTCTTTTGGCAGGATATTACTCCATATTTGCCACCCTCCACCCAGGTTTTAATGGGTAACTGGTTTACTGCTGGGTTAATAATAATTTCAAGGCCCTCAGGAGGATCGGCATTGATGCTGATGAGGCTTCTCGGCTTACTTCGTCCCATCGGGTGTTCACGTCGGGTCGGGTTGTCGGGTCCACAAACTTTCGTAAAAAGGTACCCTCATAATCACGAAAGGTTGTGTGCTTCATGTTGTCGTTTTACACAATTTTTTGTGAAAATATCCCCCAATATTCACTAAAGGTTGGGTAAATTGAATGCAAATAATCATATATTTTCACAGATGCTCTTTGAGAAAGGTATATACAGTACAGAATAGTACAATGAATATTAGTGGCAAAAATGTTCGGTCCTGACTGATCGCCAAACAAATACAAATAAGAGCAACAAATTTTGTGAAAAGAGATCAACAATAAAGAGGCGTCGATCGCTAGCCTTTTTTAAAACAAATATGTATCCCGTATTAACAGTTTTTGGGCAGAGTCATGAGTTTTCTTAGATTTGCTGTAGGTTTTTTAGAAAATATCTGGTAAACTGGACCCAACACTTTGGCGTTAATTGAGAGGAAAGTATATCACACAAGCATTATACCTGACCCTTGGGGAATTAGGAATGGATTTTTCACAGAAGTTTGTGTAACCCGAAGACTCAAGAGCTGATTGAACGAAATACGCCAGGCTTCTATAGGTAAACAAAATTACTATAAGTACTAGTAGTGGTAGTAGTACCAGTAGAAGTAGTAGTAATAGTAAAAAAAATTCTTGTTATCATTATAAGTATTATTATTATTAGAATTAGTAGTAATAGTAGTATTAGCAGTAGTAGTAGTAGTAGTAGTAGTAGTAGTAGTAGTAGTTATTGTTATTATCATTATTAATATTATTACTACCATTAATATTCTTCTTCAACGAGATTTCATGATTCCCTAGCCGTTCTCCCATGGCTATGACTCCTAACTCTAGTACTTTGTTTTCAATTGGTTCTACAGTTGCCCAGATGAAGGAACAGTTGATATCTATCGTCTCCTTGGATTGAATCGAGAAGGCTTTTCTTTCAAGGCATTTGCCTTTGTTGGAGATTACACTGAGGTAAAATATTTAATTGGCATGGAACTTATATACCTAATTGTATTACAACTTTGTTTGCCCATTTCATGAGTATATTTCAAGAAAGAAAAAACTGTAGAATCTCGGCCCACAGTTAAGTCATCTCTGCTCTGTCTCTTTGGGTTCAGTAATTACCTTAGTGTAAATAAATGGCAACTGTGTGCAACCCAGGTCTTGAACACATTCACTGAGCTCTATGGTATAAGATACAGAAACTTGAATCGTATTTTACTTTACATCATCTTTTTTTTAAAGTGCATACTTGAACAAGATTTTTTTGAAGGTTTTTTTTTCTTCGATCATAATTGCCCACCTTGAAGGAGAAATCCACCCTGATATTAAGTTGGTTTTAATAAAAGCAGAACATGAGAGATACAAATTAGTGAAAATTTGGGCAATAATCGGTTAAAAATAGGATAGTTGGAAACAAATATTGAAGTTGTCATCAGTGAAACACAAAAATGCAACACTGTAAGGCACCTTGCAAGCTCCTTTCCATTTTGCTCTATACATAGAATTTCATAAAACTTTCATTTTCTTAGTTATTGATGATAAAATAGATATGTTTCAAACAGGGTTTATATTAAAAAAACATATTTGCAATAATTATATTTAGGGTGAATGTACGGTTGAGAATTTCGAAAGATAATATAGATTTCAGAAGTTTTTTTAGTACAGGGCAAACGGGAGGGGACCTCAAAGATACGTCACAGAGAATCCAATTTATTTCTGATTGATGGCACCTTCAAAAGTTCATAACTTCCTTATTTTTAATTGGGTATTAATTCAAACTTTCACTGGCCTGTTTCTTTCTTTCATTCTTTTGCTTCGATCAAAACCAAATTAATATCAGGGCGGACTTCCCCTTTAAAAAGTAGGGAAACTTTAAAAGAACATGTGTTTGGTTGTTTAGATATTACTTTAAGAATGCATTGTAATGCATGCATAATCATATCTTTTCCTCAGGTGTACATTCACTGTTCAGTGAAGGTCTGTGGTGCCGCGAAGGCTCAATCGTTTCGAGACGCAGGATGCCCCTCAGAATCTCCACCTCCCGACCGCAAACGTCGATCTTCGTCCGTTATGTCCACTCAGACAATCAGTAATGGTCCGATTCATATCCGTCGCTCAACCAACAATATGGCTACTAATGGTATGTGCTAGTTTGTAACAACAATCATTTAAAAAACCTGGATATGGAACATTTTCCTCATAGATAACTATAAAGTGCACTCAGTTATGGTGATCCTTAACAGGATAAAATAAGGATTTGAATATCTGTAAAAATCAGCAGATGCTCACTTCAATTTCTACTAAAAGGTGGAGGGGATCATTTCCTATTCCCATGGATACGCATGCGGATATATCTAATCCACATTCATTTGTTCTATCATATTTGTTATTTGTCAATGACCACAGATCTGTCTTCCTACAACCCATTTGTGATGCTCCTCCTTGGAATGATAGCAACATTGGTTGCTATGGCGATCCTGATGGGTGTGGTCAAGCTTGTTCGTACCTCGACTGATATTGTCAACTATCAGCGAGTTCCTGTTAAATCGATGGAATGAAATTCGAAGGGATAACCATGCACTCCAAAAAGGGCCATATAATGGAAAATATTCTCATTCAAACAGCGCCCTTTACTACACCCAGCAACAGAAAAAAAGGGGGAAACTCTCTATTGTCAAAATCGTTCATATATACTGTCACTTAAATATAATACAATAATACAACTTTGTCTAGAATATGGTGTGCCTTTAATAAGGCTCTGTAATCGGCTTTCAATGCTTTAAAATGTACCTTCAGCCAGTGGTACATGAATACAATGTCCGAAACCATATTTATGCCAACGACATCCAGTTATACTGCGCATGTAATCCGAAGGTTCCCCAAAGCATCCACAATACATCGCGCAAATTACAACAGTGTATGTCTGATGTTCAGTCATGGATGTTAGCTAATACACTGAACCTTAATCAGGACAAGAAAGAATTCATGATTGCGGCATCTCCAAAGCACCATCAGCAGTTACAGCATGTCCATCTTAAGATTGATGATCATATCATCGATCACCTTCACCACATGTTCGCAAATTAGGTGTTACCTTTGACAAGCGTATGAATATGTCAGATCATGTTTCAAATTATTCATAATCTGTTGATTTGTACTTACGTAACCTCAGTAGAATAAGGAAGATCATAGAGATAAAGATTCTTCCCATGTAGTTGTAAGAACTCTTGTTTTGTCTCATCTAGATTATTGTAATTCACTACTCCGTGGTATATTGCTGAAAGATCTTACCCTATTTAGCCCGGGGGGGGGGCTTGAGAAGCCCCCCCCTCGACATTTTTCGCGATAATTTTTTAACGCAAGAAAATCTTGCACTGAAATTTTGTGACTTTTTTCTTTCGAGTCTTGCGCAACTTTTGAAAGAAATTTTTCGAAAATCGGACCTACCATTACAAAGTCACGTGTCCTTTTGTCTTCGCATGTCAGCCCGAAAATCGCTCATTTTTGTGATTTGTGTACAAAACATATGGAAATCTCATTTTTCAAATAAAGAGGTAAAACATTGGTTATTTGGTCTTGTTTAGATTTTAGGTGTTTATTTTGGGGTCAAAATAGTTGAATTATAGTTGGAAATGAAATAAAACAACAAAAACAATAAAATACATAAGTTAAAAAACAAAGAAATACATAAGAAATTATCAAAACAATAGATAACATAAGGAATAACCCTGGTTTTTTCAAATTTTTGTGTTGTATTATTATTCCAAATGGTCTAACAAATATATGTAGTGAGAAAGAATGCTTAAATATGAATAATGTCTGATTTATGGGCAAAAATGTGAATTTAATGACCTTATTTGCATAAATTACCATAAATATGCAAATGAGTGAATTTTTCAAAAAAATTGAAATTACCATAGTATTCTATACACTTCACTTGACATGTATGCAAATTTTCGCGGCGATCGGGCGTTTCACACGGCCGAGATCACAGGGGGGGGCCTGAGAAGCCCCCCCCTGGGCTATGCAGTTTCAAAATAGCCCGGGCTAAATAGGGTTAACTCCCTTCAGCTCCTCCAGAACAGCAGCATGGCTCAATCATTGAAAACAACAATTACCCACGTCTCCCCTCTCGTCACTTATCTTCACTGGTTTCGCGTTAATGTTTGTATCATACAAAAGACCTAAATTCTCACTTACAAGTGTTTCAATAATCAGGCGCAGCATTCCTAGGTGATCTATTCCGTTCGCACACATCCATGTATAATACACGATCAGCCAGTAGTAAAACACTTACTGACCGTCGAACCAGTAAACTAATAGGTGATAGAGGTTTTTTTCCGTTATGAGCCCCCAAAACCTAGAACTCCTTACCCCCTGTAATTAAGAATTGCCATACTGTCACAGTTTTCAAAAAGTGTCTGAAAAACACATCTTTTCTAATTTCCCTTTTCTCGTTTGTAATTAATGTTAAGCTCTGTATGATAATGTTGTCTCTATTTGGTTTGTAAGTATTTTTTGTTCATGTGCTTAGTATCTAATTAAAGCCCCACTGTCCTACTTGTAGCTACTTGCTCCCTCTATATAGAAAACTTCCCCAATCGGTACCTGTTGGTCTACCATGATCCTCTTTTTCTTAGTTTTTCTTAGTTTCTTAGCTGAGTTAATGAGATAGCCACCTGTCAGTGACCTCGCTGTGTGGTCTAATCCCTTCTGGCCCATTAGTGTTGACAGTCTTTAAAAGGTGTTTTGTAGATGTACTATTATTATTATTCAAGAAGTGTCTGAAAACATATCTTTTCTCGGTTTGTAATTAATGTAAGCTTCGTATGATAATGTCTCTTTTGGGTTTGTAAGTATTTTTTGTTCATGTGCTTAGTATCTAATTAAAAGACGTTTTGTAGATGTTATATTATTATTATTCAAGAAGTGTCTGAAAATACATCTTTTCTTGGTTTGCAATTATTGTAACAGTGACGGATCCAGGGGGCACAGGGGGCACGTGCCCCACCGTTCCAAAAAATATGTTAAAACCAGCCCTAAATTTGCCAAAAATGCACTGAAAAACAGAGACGTGCCCCCCCCCCCAAAAAAAAATGAATTTAAAAAAAGAAAGATATATACCAATGGCTGGCCTAAAAGATGACCTTACCCCCCCCCCCCCCCCCCCCCCCCCATGGAGCAAAATGTTACATTTACAAATGTCATGACCCCCCCCCCCCCCCCCCCCCCCCCCCCAAAAAAAAAAAAAAAAAATGTTCTCTTATTTTTTGTTCATGCCTCTTAGTATCTAATTAAAAGGCGTTTTGTAGATGTACTATTATTATTATCCAAGAAGTGTCTGAAAACACATCTTTTCTCGGTTTGTAATTAATGTAAGCTTCGTATGATAATGTCTCTTTTGGGTTTGGAAGTATTTTTTGTTCATGTGCATAGTATCTAATTAAAAGGCGTTTTGTAGATGTTATATTTTTATTGTGTTGACCCAACAACAAAACCGCAGCAGCTTCATTCAAGAAAATCTTGCTTCCAACAAAAATTTCCTTTCTTTTTATGGTGGCCCCAAAATTTGAGGTCTTGGTCAACATTGTTTCCAAACAATTTTAATGTGCCACAAATCGGTATTTTTGTATGTCAGTCAAATATGTTTGGGAGAGTTTGTTACTTCACATCCAAAACAAATTAGCATTTAAATAATAAGGTTCCCCCATCAAGTTATGTCATTCACTTAACTCCCTTGGCTTCCAATGATTTTTACTATATCAAATTATGTATGAAAACATACACAAAAAATGATATACATATATCACAAATTTCTAAAAAGTGAAACGCAAAATTAAACAATAACAACGAAAAGCACATTGCAACCAAAATTACCAATTACATACTGAATCTGAATTTCAGCCTGATATACACGGATGCCAGTTTTCAGGCAATATCCTGAAATCAGGCCCTGGTGAGTTAATTTCAGACCATCGTGTAGGCTTTTTTGTGTACAAAATAGCTCATTCTAGGTGATTTTCAGGCCCTCTGATCAATTCTAACTGGCATCCCTGTGATTTAACTTTCTCGTAACCAGAGAGCATATGGTTCAATATGATGTCGAATTCCCTTGTAGTTTTGAGGTTGAAGGCAGAGTATGACACTTCCAAACATGTCCCCTTTATTGAAATGCTATGTCATTTTCATATTAATAAGAATTTGTTAATTGTTTGATTCTTTTGTTCTTCTACGACTATTATGAGTCTCATTCTGTAAGTGGTGGTGGTGGTGGTGGTGGTTGTAATTTTACCTGACTGCTAAGAAAGTATAAATGCTTGTAAGTAAGCATCCAGGCGGCAGATGGCTTTAGGTTCTGTCTGAGGGACCTGGTAATGAGGATTAATGCCTTACCAAAGGGCACTAGCGCATCGCCTTGGTTTGAACCCGGGTCACCGGATTACGAGACCACTGCTCTACCGACTGAGCTATCGCGCCTTAGTTACGTTTTGTTATTTACAGTGCGTCCCAGAAAAAACACCTAAATCCAATATTTATTGTGAACGAACTGTGAGGTTTATAAATATGATTCCTTGCTTTTCATAGAGTAAAAATGATATTCTTTCAAATAATGCATTAATTACATTAATCCACACACGATTCACTGAGCAACATTGATTCGGAAATGACATGTCAAAATCCATTTGTGGCATTTTGGAAAAACTGAAAATACAAATTAAAAAAACCCAGTGAAGATATTCTCATGTTTTTTTGTTTTTTTGTTTTTTTTTAGTAATGAAGGCAAAATTAATGCCATCACAAAATATAAGATCATTGAGATATTATTTTAATGTGTGGGTAATAAAGAAAGGCATATTTTGGGAATAACATGTAAGTAGGAATGCAATATTATGAACAATATTTGATTTAGAAACTCAAAATGGACATTTGGGTTATAGTTCTAGATCAGATTATGAGTGAAGTTGCATTGTAGTTAAGGGGAGAAATGTATGGTCTAATGCAAACATAACGCCACAAAATAACCAATAGAATATGTAAATTTCCTTTCAGGATGAGTATCCTTTTCACTGACACACAAAAGGGCATATTTTCCATTGCTCGAGGGTTATTTTCTTTTTTTTTGGTGGAAATACATGCATTTTATTTGAATAAAAAGCAAGGAATCATTTTCATAAGGCTCATATATAGTCCGCTCACAAACGTTTGTTTCCGGGATGCTGTTAATTTTGAAGACATCCTATTAGGCCAATTAAAAAAAACAAAAACATGTTTAGCGTCCTGTTTTTTCGAAAAAAAGGAAGGAGGCCCTCTTTTTTTTTCTTTTTCTTTTTTCTTTCAAAATGGCTGCTCAATATAGCCACTTGGTACATTTCAAGATGGCCGCCGACATTTTTTTTTTTTTTTTTTTTTTTTTAAATAAGAAATAGATCTATTTTAGCAGTGTTTTTCATGTTTAAAAAACAAAAAATCAAAAAAATTCAAAAGTAAAAAAATTCAAAAAAAATAAATACGAGGCGGCTCCCAAAAAGGAAGCGGGCGGGGGACGCTGAACATGTATTTAATGGCCTCATGGTAGGTGTTATTTTACTCTAGGTGTTGTGACAATGTTTATGTTATCACTTGTTTATTTTTCTTATTACTACCCTTTTTTGGTTAAAAAAAGAAGAAGAATTCTCACAGAATCAAACGAAACTTACACTGAATGTTCGTGTCAAACACTGGCTTAGTGATGAGCATAGATATATAAGTAAATCTAGGTATTAGCACGGATATGTGAGTTTAAAACTCACATATCCCTGGTAATAGCTAGCCCCGACACCATTTGTGTAGTCCCGTACAGTGGCGGATCCAGGGGGGGGGGGGGGCCCGGGGACCCGGCCCCCCCCCCTTGAGAAAAAAATCATGTAAAATCACGTGATTTTTACCTTTTTTGGGGGTTGGGCCCCCCCCCCCCTGGCGCTCAAGGGGGGGGGGGGGTGCAAATTGAAAAAATTTTGAGGATCAAAAAAAAAAAAATGTGCTCACTACCCCCCCCCCCCCCCCCCCCCCCCCCCCCCCCCCACTGAGCGAATTTTCGGCCGGCGCGTTTTTCGGGAGCAAAAAAAAAAAAAAGTTGGGCCCCCTCCCCTAAGAAATCCTGTATCCGTGCCTGGTCCCGTATACATCTTTTTGTGTACAATGC